CAAATGGCGGCCTCTCACGGCTCGAGTATGAAAGTATATATGTTTATTTTTCTTTGGGTAGGGCGGGACTGTCATGATTTACTCGCCTTGCGGCAGCTGCGGCAGGTGCCCGTGCGTGTTTTTGGACCTGATCAGTCATCCGTCGCCATCCAGGAGTGGGGCTGCTATCTTCGCCGAGGCAATAGGCTCTCGCAAGCTAGCGCCGAGGCCGAACAGAGCAGAGAGCTGAGACGCACCAATGTAAACATGCGAACCGATGCACGCGCTGGGGGACCGCAGATGGCTCCCACAATACAATGCCAGGGCATTCGCGGATTGAATGACCGCGGGGAAACTCAGCTTCTCTGCTGGCAGCGGCTGTGCCGTGCTTCACACCACCACAGCCAGCAATCTGCTAAAGTCACAAGATACATATCAGGACAAATGTGGGCTCGTTCTGCACCCCTAGGGCTAGTAGGGGTGGGGCTAATTTCTGCCGAGGTGAATGCTGGTGAGTATTGCGCGTCGTGCTGTCGTGCTTGAATTCGTCCATCGGCCGGCGGGTGTAGTCTAGACTTTAGTCTAGATATAGTCTGTGCATACTATCGCCGCTGTTAAGATCTTTTAGAGTACAGAAGTAGTGGGCCCTGTCATAAAGTGCCGGTATGTGTCCAGAGATTTTTTCACCATTATACCGGACACTGGTACCAACCAAAGTACAGAACGACTTGGGATTTCAGTGTGTCAGAGCCGAAAACACCGGCACTACCCTGGGCACCCGGCACTACTCGACCAGCACAATCCAGGGCTCACTACTCTGTGCACAGAGGATCTCTAGACTAAGTCTACCGTTCACATGTACATGTGAGACATGAAGCACCAGCTGGCATATACGGATGTCGAACGTAATCAAGTCCTACATCTGCACACGCATCACAAGTCAGATCTGCGACCCTCTCACGGTTGGCAAGGCGGATGAGTGAGACGGATCTCTCCAGGTTCGCGCTTCGGCTCAATGTGCATTGTGCGGTGTGTAATGTGGAGTACACACCAACTTCGACCTCTCTCGTGAGAATGGTAGAACGGCAAATATACGGGTTGAGTGTGAGAGGGGGACATCTGATCCGCTGTGCTCTGTAGGTGGGTTCAACGGTGTTTGAACTCGCGGCGACGCCTTGGGGATAGATCTCCGAGATCATATGACCCGACATCATCTGAGACTGGTCGGACTTGGACCATACCCCGCGCACGCAGAATATTGCCCTGTTCATTGTAAGCTGCCACGAGGCTCCTCGACACCATGAATACTGAACGCCCAATATGAGGCGTAGGTTTGGACATTGGAGTGCTGAGAGATGATGCGAGTAGGATGTGGTCGCAGGAGACACATACTACGTAGAACACCACGCCATGATGAGCTATCTGCGTGCCCTGTGAGAGGCGAATCCAAGGATGCAAGCCCCCGCGGCTCATACGTTCATTCAATAAAAACATTTCCCCGCTCCTGCACAGTTGCAGCTCAAGACCACAAAAGCGGCCCGTGCCTACATGTTTTCGCAAGAATGAGAGATACCCACATCCTTTAAAAATTTCGTTCAACTACAAAGGGGGGAAGGATCCACGGAACCCGCCCAGTCTCCCAACAGATTTTGGCGTTCCATCCCGGTCATGACCCCTCTACAATATGCATACAACTTTCACGACTGATATTTGGTTCTGTAAGCCACTGCGGAAGGGTTCAAGCCAGGTTAATATATGTAGCAGTTGGTGGGGTTGGCGTGTGTGGCGCTTTAATAGTACACTGGTTTATCCACGGCCGGGACTGGAAAACTGGTCGGACACCGCACAGAGAATGTTCTGTGTTAAAGATGCTTTCCAACACCACAGCACTGAAATGTAATAACTTATTTACTCGAGTTGAGTTCTACGTGTGCGTGTTGTCTTGCGTTGTACCGAATGACACGTTGTTCCCTTGCGTCTTCGGCTCCGTTCTCAAGGCTGCCCGGCTGAATTCTTGCTGCTTGGCTGCTACGCCGTCTTGGACAGCAACCGGACAATGCCAAAGAAAATTTTACATGAGCCCATGTCTGCCGAGGTGCGACCCGAGGTCTTGATGTTTTTTTTCTTGTGCTGGGTGGGTACGGGGAACGGCATGGATGCGTTGCGGAGACGTACTTGAGTGGGGGTGCTGCTTCGCCCTCACGTCGCAGCCCCAGCTCTGCGTTGTGCCTTATTTTCCCAATACGTTGTTGTCGTGACAAGAGGTCCAAGGACCAGTTGGATTGAGTGACTCGTTTGTTTACTCCTTACGCGTACAACAATGTTTCTCTCGGTCAGATGTGCTACATGCTCTGCGACGATGGCTTGAACACGCACTTCGGCACGCTGTCCTCTCGAGAGGTGGGTTCTCCGGACGTCCGGTGTAGCTAGTAGTCTGCAACAAATGGTTGCACAATTGTTTTTTTGGTGGTTCGTGGATACGACCGAAATGTGGTGGTCCTTTTGCGAATTTCAGAACAAAGTTCGGCGTCAGACGTTTTGGCAACCACGTTCGCTTTCATCGCAGGACAAGGTCAAGTCTGAGCTGCTTGATCGGCCATGAACAATGAGTATTGGAGCCCCCTTTCTACGATTTGCTGCCTTCAAAGCTACGAGGGTAATATCCCGCAGTGGTTATTTAGTTGTCATTCACCAAATATTGATATCATGAGAGGCATATAGGTTTCATATGTTGATTTGTCGTCAAAATATGCGACGGTGTTCATGTTCTCAAAACACTCGGAAGTTCGGTGTATGTACCCGAATCGCCGGCGGGAACCGCGGAAAAATACTCGTCGGCCCGTAAGATTTAGTTATATTTATTCTGCCTGATTTTACCCTAGCTTCAACCGTCGGGTAGGTATACTCAACAGCTCCGCCCCGGTACTCACGTCGGCTATTCGGGAACCAAGGGGTCGCCTGCAATTGCGGCTGTTCACTTTCCCCACAAGTTGACGTTTCAAAAACCAGCATCCATATATACGTGCATGCATTGAATGCATGTAAACAGTGCCGGTGCGGCATCAATCCTGAGCTAAACATAGACGGTGGTAAGCTAGAGCCGATCGAGTGTGACCGTCATTGCGCCGACGGCAACGACTGTGGCGAGTCACGCAACATGGCTGTGTTCGAGATTACAGCGTACCAGATATGCCCACGAGAAGCTGAAGCGCTAGACAATCCAATTTCTTCTCAAGATGGACAGAAAATTGGAGAGCCATGGGACTACCAAGAAAAGTTCGACACCACCAATTTTTTCAAGTTCACCGAAGATTCTTCGTTCTCGTGGGTGGATGAGGAGCCCGCCGAAGAATGCGATATGTGAGCCATTTTTTGTGTCTGCGGCAGTCAGTGCTCCGGCGCGTCAGTGCGCATCAGATTGCTAGATATTCTCCAATTAAATATGCGTTGCAGGTAGTTTGTTGAGAGTTTCTGCTGAACATGTTCGTCTTTCTGTCATCGACGGTGGTTTCCTGTGCACCAATTATGTATGAAGCTTTCGCATCATCCGAGGGCGACGAGCTCCCCCAATGGCGAGGGTTGTCCTCAAGGCGAGCAGCACACTCTTACGGTCTGGCAGTGCCGTTTAGGTGTGTCTTGAAGCTTTCACGAATTCTGACAGGTACATAACATTGTAACTCTGCCCCATATTTGTCATGCGCAACGCCTGTCCCCCGCTGTTTCCCAGAAATGATGACCACAAGAAACTGCTAGCGCAGGTTGATGTGTGGGAGGACGCCGTCACGAACTCGCCAAGAGTTTTTTGTGGGATCTACACGCATCACAAGAACCATGCGACTAAAGTGATGGTAAGAAACTGTCGGTGAAATCCAATTGGTCATGCGGTGAGGCGTTGCCCATTCTCGTGCACACGTGATGACGATTATGCGTTAGTCATAGCGATAGAGTTCTACACAGGCTTGGCGTGGTCACCAATTGCAACAATGTGTCGTATGTGAAGCAACATATCGGCACGGAGAGTCAAAATACGTGGGCTTTATGAAACACTGCAATGAATAGTTGGCACATCTGGTGTCACCGTATACACTGTTGCTGACTGATGGGCTTGGTCGGCGTCGTTACAAAAAGCCTGCAACCGCAGCTTAAAACGATTCTACCATCGTTTGAGCAGCGTTGACATTGATCATGCTGTCGTTTGGCGTTGCTGCCCTCTGGGCGAGGTCTGCAGCTTACGCTCCTCTTTGTGATGCTGGGTTGCAGGCGATCAAGGAGACCTGGGCGCGCCACTGCGACGGATTTGTGGCCTTCAGCGACGTCGCCGACGATGCAATTCTTTCGTAAGAACCGCAAGAGAGAACTAATCGTCATTCATTTCGTAGAGGGTGTGGGCCAATAGTATCCGAGCGAGGTTGGTTTCTTTTTGACCCAACGTTCCGAATGGTTTTAGCAATACCATCGAGCACAAACTTACGCTGCACTAAATCAAAGGATGCATGACATCATCTTGGATGCGGCCGTATATGTGTTGCCGGCACGGCGGCCAAAAGGTTCAGGATCAAGCACGAGGGTCCGGAAGAATATTCCAATATGTGGCAGAAGAGCAGGGCGATCTGGAAGTACATCAACTTCCACTACAAGGACGATTTCGACTGGTTCGTTCTTGGGGGCGACGACCTCTTCCTTATCGTGGAGAACCTGCGCAAGGTGGTAGTGCGTGGTGTGGTGTGAAGCTGAAACTGTTGGAGAGATACAGCGATTTGATCAGGGTTTGGAATCGACTGCTGCCAGTGCATCGCAACCATAGGCATTCGTTCTGCCAGAGTCGGAGAAAAGCGATTTAGGCTTGACGTTTTTCTCTTGTGTTCTCTAGCTAAAAAAAAATGTGAAGGAGTGTTTCCAACGGTCCTACAGTGCAACCCACCAACTGTTCTTGTGCTTGTGAACAAGGGATCAAAAAGACTCCCCGTGGTTTGCCTCTCCCTCAATGACTAGTGCATTGCCAGCCCGTCAAGCGAACTCCGATGAGCTTCGTCCCGGCTTGGTAGGGATGCGAGAGTCCATGTGAGAGATAACGGCCAAGAGTGTCAACGAGTCCCCCCCTATCCCCCCATCCCGCTCCCACATAGTACCTCCTATCGGACGAAATCATCCGTGCGGCTGGGGGGCTACAAAACGGGGGCACGAACCCGATCTTCCTAGGACGGCGTTTGCAACGCTTTGGCGAGCAACATCGAATATACAACAACGGCGGGGCATCATACGTGATGAACCAGGCGTCGGTGGGGCTGTTGGGAAATCACCTGGATGACAGCCGCTGCCAGCCTCACGCAAAGCAATCCTGGGAAGACGTGCTGGTGAGCATTTCCAGGGCGTCATTTAAGAAAACAGAGGTAGATGAGAGTCGCGAAAGGGGAGAAGCCCTACGAAGAAGTCGGGTTAGATGATGATTATCAAGACAGAAGCAGAGAGTCAACGCACGAGCTGTATGCTCCTTCAGGGCACACATCTCAACTATTCAGTCTTCATGTACCCACATCCGTATTACACTTTATTCGGCTGGTCCAGAGCGAACCTGGCCGGTTGAGCCGAGAGTTTCATAACTCATGATGTAGAGCTGCTCATGTTACAATCAAGAGTAGAAACCGTCGCTAATTGAGCATCTCGCTTTGTCCACCACAACAGTGATTGCTCGCTCTTCAAATCAGAACTTTGAGGCTTCGTTGAAAGAGTCATATTCGTCGAGGTGGTTGGTCTTTCAGGCGTTAATGTTTACCCAACGTATAGCGAATAATCCTGCTTGGATGCCGTGTTTGTTCAGGTCTCTCGGTGCCTAAGAAATAACGGTGTGATGGCATTCGACACTCGGGATGGTCTTGGGCGCGAACGATTTCATCCTTTTTCGCCGGCGGTTCATATTGGGTGAGTGTTGCCTACTCAAGATGTATCTGATCAGCCCCGGGAGAAAGAACAAAAAGGTGTCTTCGAACATCGAAATCAGCCGAATTGTGGGGGATAATCACCGATTTTGCTGGTCAGGGTTCGTTGTTCTGCCTCATGCCAACAGCGTGTACCCGGTGCTGGCCTAACGTAAGTGGGGTTAGGGAGGGATGTCCAGGTTAGGCAAATTCTGGAGCTCAGCCAAACGATGGAGAGCAGAATGCGACAATGATAGTCGATATTCTCCTTTGGTTTAAGATCAAACCCCATCGATTTCGTGAAACATAGCACGTACGTACGTACATTGATGCCAGATGGCGTGGACAAGATCCTCCACCGTGATTCCAACAGGGGTACGTGGGTTGCTAGCGTCATTCGTCATCCGAAATGTTCCACGTGGGCTAAATGAGCTTGTTTTCACTCTGAAAGCGTATGGGCGGCTGTCAACAGCAGAAAAAATTGTAAGGCCCAACACGTTTATTCGGAACATGCGTGACACACGAGCTTTTCTCTACTGTAGCAAATATTTTGTAGGTTGGGTCCTTTCTACATGAGTTCATCATCAAAACTTTCTTGGTCACCAACGTGCCGGGGACACGGGCGAGACACGAAGACACAACGTTCGAGAGTTAAAGGGGAGACACAACCGAAGGCCGCCCACCGGCACCGTAACCTCAGTGATGTCAAAGGCTGAATGAACACCTCAGGTGGTATCCACGCGAGCTCAGCCTCGAGACATGGCCAGCTCATCGTCACTGATTGTAGAAGCCAATGTCCGGAAGACTTGACTCGCTGCACAGAGTAGACGTAAACTGACTACGTCTACACACAATGCTCTGTTTCTGCATCTTGGAGGAGAAGCTACAGCATTCGACTTTCTCGGTTCTACTGGTTTCGAACACAGTCAGTCTTCCTTTGTGGTACACGGACCATCATAAGTACGTCGTCGTTTTCGACGACGGTTGCTCGACGAACATATTCGAATGCTACATACTGTTGGTCAATGTAGCAACGTACGCCTTCTTCAACAATGATGTAGCCGGCATCGATTTCCTGTCAAGGGGCAACGAATTGAGAGTGTACTTCAGCTGAGGTGTCCACCGGGCACGAGAGAGGAGCACAAGCATTCATATTGTTATCGTGTCATGCGAGATTCATCTGACCCTTTTTATGTGTCGTCGCGGATCGTTGAAAGGAGGCCGTGAACTGGGAAAAGAAAGACGGTACAACAATGTACAGAGTAGGTCACACGACACAACCCCCTGCCGAAAGCTGCACCAGTTTTCCCAACATGTCCTGTTTTGTCGTGCTTGCTGTGGTTTGGCAGGTATCGGATGCCCGAGACACCAGAAGATCGTCTGGTCTCAGGATTTCTTGTCGGTGGATGGTACGGTATCCAGGCGATTGAACTTACGTTCGGTCTCGAGTGTTGCTCTCAAGACTCTATCAGTTTTCACTACATAGACGAGCAGCTCATGAGGCGACTGTACCATCTTGTGTACTCATGCCCGGAAGAAGCGGAGGGTACGATTGGCCTACGATGACGTGAACACCATGAGTACCGGTACCGTTCACCTGGTGATCGTTCGCGTGCACTTGTCTCGCAACCGACTGTGTTTGATACCGCCACCACGTGGCAAAGTAGGGTAGGTTGTTTGCCGTCGGGCCGAGCCCGGCACTTGTGTTTCATGCTCAGTTGTTTTTTGAGGCTCTGTTGCAATATTGTACATGCTACATGTTATCGGGATGTAATGGGGCCGTTTCAGGGCCAAGTCCAAGTCGTTTTGGATCGTTTTCCGTGGCAAGCGAAAGTTCGTCATTCGAGCCACAGCGTATTGAAGCTCAGTCGGGTTGTAGACTAAAAGTTTGGCGCAGCGTTGAGTAGCGGTAGACTGTTGAAGTCTTGATCGGGGATCAGAATCCCAGCCCAGCGCACACTCTCCGAGTGAGCTACGAGCGGTAACGGTGAGCATACATGCCTGTTTGGCTACAGTAGAATTGATGCGCTATTGTGGTCTTGAAGACGCACTCGAGGAGTGAGCAAGATGTATGCGTACATGGTAAGGTAGTCCTGTGCTGCACAACACATAGAGTAGCGGCGAGTATTAAAGGTCACTTAAGCTACCCCCTGTGCAAAGAGCTCGTTCTTGAGCAGGAAAACGAATTTCGATGACATTGTGGTATCGAGCGATAGGTAAGATCACCCCCCGCCTATCTAAAAAAAAAAAAAAAATCGTCAACAGTGACGAGGTAAGGCTGGGGCCGTAGACCTGAGCTGCAAGCGCCATTTTGAGAGAAAATTACCCCTGGGGGTATTAAAGGCCACTTTAATCATTGGTTGATTTCGTACGTTTCAAAGCGTTTCAAGACCCAAGATTTAGTGGGCACGCGTAAAATACAGTAGGAATGAAGAAAAAATACGAAAAAAAAAAATGAACGACACCCGGGGATGAAAATGACGTATCCCCGGGTTTTCGACACCAAGGGTAGGGATGGGTTTTTCCCTCCGTGACCTGTCTTGCGTGCTCTGCGAGTTCGAAACGAGGCAGAACAACCCGTTTCGTGCATGAATATGTTATTGCAGTCAGTAGACGACTCGAGAAAAAAAAAACACGGCGAAACGAGTTGTCTACGTAAAATGGTGCTCGGTCAAATATGGGTACTTTTTCCTGATTTAGCATGCCGCTAATGGTAAGAATTCACGCCGAACACCGCCAAACTGTATCCACCATAGAGGAATACTCATTCATCCCCACGACACAACCTTTGGAGGGGATCTTTAAACATGAGTGACAAACATGTTAAGAACAAAAAAAAAAAAGCCACCCCGGGGACAGAACCACCGCGTCCCCGGGTTTTCGGTCAAAACCTGTGCATCCCTCCCC